AACTTGTCAAGTATGTTATCCATGTAATGTGACTGAGTCAATATGAGACCATCAGGCACCCTTTTGATCTTGATCCCCAAAATCACATCAGTCGATCCCATATCTTTTATATAAAACCTTGAGTTTAACATGTGGTTGGTAGATTTAACCATCCGATCACTATTACCTACAATTATTATGTCGTCTACATATAGACAAAGAATGACATAACCGTCTTCTGTATTCTTGACATAAACACATTTGTCACACTTGTTGATTTTGAATCCATTTGACATCATGACATCGTCAAACTTCTTTTGCCATTGTTTTGGAGCTTGTTTCAGTCCGTACAAAGACTTCACCAATTTGCAGACATTCTTCTCTTGTGCTGGAGCTACATAACCCTCAGGTTGTTCCGTGTAGATTTCTTCTTCCAGATCTCCATTTAGAAAGGTTGTCTTCACACCTATTTGATGAACTTTAAGATTCCGCAGTGGTGCAATTGCTGGTATCATCCTTATAAATGTTATTCTCGTCACAGGAGAATACGTGTCAAAGTAATCAAGGCCTTCTCGTTGTCTATAACCTTTTATTACCAGTTTGGCCTTATACTTGTTAATTGTTCCATTTGTCTTCATTTTCCGTTTGAAAATCTATTTAGAACCCAGTAGTTTATTTCTTGGCGGAAGGTCTACTAATTCCCAAGTATGATTTTATAAGATGGAATCTATCTAACTCTTTATGGCTTCTTTCCATAAAGGACCCTCAGTTGAGCTCACAGCTTCTTTACACGTTTCAGTTTCAGCCTCTAGCATATAGGTTAAAACATCCGGTCCAAAAGACTTTTCTATCCTTGCCCTCTTACTTTGTCTAGGCTCCTCCTCTACTTCCACATTTCCATCGTTTTCAGAATTTTGACTACAATCTTCTATGATAGTCTGAAAACATCATTTTGAAGAACTTGGCTCATCTTCCTTAGTCTTACATGGAAATACATGTTCATAGAACAATGCATTCCTAGACTCTATTATCGCGTTCTTGTGTATGTCAAGGTTTTTAGATTCATGCACAAGGAACAGATACGCGAAACTATTATGAGCATACCCAATGAAGATCTAATCAACCATTTTCAGACCTATCTTCATCTTCTTTGGGGTTGGAGCCATTACCTTGGCCAAACACCCCCACACTTTCAAGTATTTGTAGGAAGGTTTCCTTCCTTTTCATAATTCATTGGGGGTTTTATCGACTTTCTGACGCGGAACCTTATCTAAAAGGTAATTAGCCGATAAAGTGGCTACGCCCCACATGTTCTGTTGCAACCCAGAACTTATTAACATTGCATTCATCATATCCTTTAAGGTACGATTTTTCCGTTCATCAATGCCATTCGATTGGGGAGAATACGGAAGTGTGACTTCATAAATAATTCCATGTTGTGCACAAAGCACACTAAATGGTTCGACATATTCACCACCTCGGTCTTCTTACCATCTCAATCTTTTTATTAAGTTGGTTTTCAACTTCTTGCTTGTAGAGAGTAAATTTTCTACAGCTTCATCTTTGCTTTTTAGCAAATATACATAGCAATACTTTGTGCTATCATCAATGAAAGTGATAAAATACTTATTACCACATCTTGTTTAAACAAACTTTAAGTCACAAACATCACTATGTATTAGATCAAGTGGCTTAGTATTCTTTTCTATCGTTTAGAATGATGACCTTGTTAGTTTTACCTCTACACAAGTTTCACGTTTACGTTTCGAATCAATATGAAATGCAGGTATGTTATCCAAGTTAATTAATCTACACAAAGTATCATAATTAACATGATCTAGTCTACCATGCGATAAGTTAGAAGCCTCAAGCATATAAACGGAAGACTTTTTTTTTTCATTTATTTTCTTGGGTTTTACAGCTATGGCATTCATTTTCCACATGCCACTCTTTACATAACCCTTCCCCACATACATTCCCATCTTAGACAAAACTATCTTATCAGCTTCAAATACCATCTTGAAGCCGTGCATGCTCAGCATTGTCCCGGATATGAGATTCTTCCGGATGTCAGGCACATTAAGAACATTGTGGAGCTTCACTTCCTTGCCCGAGGTCATCTTCAAGAACACCGTTCCTTGGCCCTTGATCACAGAAGTTGCAGAATTGCTCATGAAAAGCTTCTCTCCAGTTTCCAACGGAACTAGATCAGCAAACTCAGCCCGGTCACAACAAATGTGTCTTGTAGCCCCATTATCGAGCCACCACTCGTTTGGATTGGAGTCAACCAAGTTCACTTCAGAGTCCACAACAGACAAGCTGATGTCAGACAATTCTTTGGAAATGGTGTCCACAACATTAGCCTCTTTATCCTTGTTTCATTTTGGCAGCCTGCAGTCCACCAATTTGCGCCCAACCTTGTTGCAATTAAAGCACTTCCCTTGAAATTTCTTCTTAATAATTCCTCCCTTTGGTCCCACCTTGGATCCAGGCTTTCCTTTCTTTTTGGAGCTATCATGCTCCACCATATTAGCCTTAGCAGAGCTTGCAGTTGCATTAGAGAATTTCTTCAAAATCTGCCTATTCTCTTCTTCAATGCGAAGCCTAACAACTAATTGCTCAACGGTCATCTCTTTCCTCTTGTGCATCAGATAGCTCTTGAACTCCATCCAAGAGGGGGGTAGCTTATCAACCAGCGCAACTACCTGAAAGGATTCACTAATAGCCATTCCCTCAGCATGTATCTCGCGAATTATCAATTGAAGCTTTTGAACTTGACTAATAACAGTCTTCTAGTCCACCATCTTGTAATTCAGGAATTGGCCTACTAAGAACTTCTTAGCACCTGCGTCCTCGGACTTGCATTTCTGGTCCAAAGATTCCCATAAATCCTTAGCTATTTTCTTTGAGCTATACACATTGTAAAGCCCATCAGCCAAGCCGTTAAGCACATAGTTTCGACACAAAAAGTCAGAATGGTTCCATGCATCAACCACGTGGAATGCTTGAGCATCCACTTCATCCTTTCTAACAGTAGGAGGATCCTCTTTCAAGACAACATTTTTTGTTGCCAAGTCTTAAAATGCAGCCCACTGAATTTATCAGGTTTTCATTGTGGTTCACTGGAACCGAGACCGGCGAAGGCTGCGTCGAGGTCAAAGCAGGGGTTCGAACCGAGACAGACGTTTGTCCCACAGGTGACAGCTCAGGCGTCATAGTGTTGCTTCCAGTAGGAACCACCACGTTCATGTTATTAGCCATTTCTTCAAAAAGAACATTTCCAAGTTAGTAAGGAAAGTGACAAAAGTTTCCAACAATAAAACCGTTTTTTTCCTTTTCCTCCTATGTTTTAAGATTGTTAGGAAAAATATGGATAATACAAAGAAGAACAACAACTTATAGAAGAACAAAGTAACGAAATTGTACAACACTAATTCAACCTTTCTACCAAACTCAGAAATGAAATTGCAAGGATGTCGAGACACGTGAATCACACTTTTCTTAAAACAGATTCGTCCCCTCCGGCGAGTGCTTGAGGTAACGTAGGACGTCTGTCTCCCAGGATACAATGACAATGGTGGTAGCTCGAAGTACTATCGGAACCATCCGGTGAACTAGAACTCGGGCCTTCCTTCTATCACCAAAACAGAACTAGAAAGTATTGAAAGAAAAGTGAAAGAAAAACCGAGAGAATGGAAAAGAGAGCTCTGTGAAGGTGTGCTTTCAAATGGCTAGAGAGGCTCCTTTATATAGCCTGCTGCAGAGGATGTTACAAGGCTAAAATAATGGTGAATAAATCCAATTAAAAGAAAAATTGCAAAACAAAGCTCGCATGGAGCGGGTTTTCCGGTCCAACATTCATGTCGTCAGGTTGCGGGCACACACATTGGGCTCCAACCCGCCGGGACCGTGATTGGCATCCCCCCTGTGTGTGAGAAAGCCTCTCCGGTATACATGCTTACTTAGGTTTCAAAGTGCAATCACTTATAAACACCACCAAGGCTTCATTCCTAGCCAATGTGGGAGTTTTGTAATTTCCAACTACATTAACCACTCCAAGTGACATACTTAGAACATCAATTTCTCATTCACCCAATATCCATTTTGAGTGTCTGAATAATTGATTTCGATCTTCTCGCGACGGAGAACGCAAATCCATCGAGACCCGTCCCAAAAACCTATTGGTCCTCAATCGAATATGGGCCTCAAAATGGGCCTTTAAAATGGCTTAACAAGCCATTTTTTCTAACACTAAATACTTAATAGTGAACACACTTAAATTTACAACAACAATCCCTTTTACAATTCTAATTAATTCCTAAATTATGATCAAAATTCAGTGAGAATTAAAATAAATTCTGTATTAGAGGAGTGTTTTAGACTATTTTACAAACACTAGTTTCTTTTCTCGCCACTTGTCAATCTAGTTTTATGAGACAAACTAATATAATAACAAATCATCTTTCAGTACCATATTTACATAACTACCACCATTAAGCTAGACTCATTCTTCTGCTATTTTGTTTGGTACCTTTTTTAACCTTTTTTTTATTTTCATTTTTTGAAGTTTTTTATTTTACTAATAAATATCTATTATTTTAAGTTTTACATATTACTGTTTCAAATAAAAATATTTCGTTTTTGCAAATTATAGAAAGGGTTGTGGGAATTGGGATGCCTGTAATGATCCGGCTTCCTGCTAAAACGTGACTTGATACGAAAAACTATTTTTAACCTCTTAAAGCATCTTAAAAGTAGAATACTTACCTGTTAAAATTTCGGGTAATTTGTTTTTTTTTTTAAACTTATTTTGAAACATAATTTTAGTTTTGCAAATTCTTTTCATTTATAAAGACTTTGAAATTATTCTAAACACTTTCAAAATGGTCATCGGTAATAAACTATCTGACCGGGAAATTGTCTTTAACTTTCATGGAATCAACTCAATTGAATTCGAATTTCAAATTTAATCTAATTTCAATTTACAACTTCCTTTACATATCACAACTTTAAACCTTTTAAATCTTTGCGGTATTTGTCTGCATGGTAGTATCTATTGCCCGATCCCTCCATCGTACTCGTCCTTCTTTGCAAATTCCAACAATGATTGTAGGTATTTTACCTACAGCATGAACAAACTTTATGAGCCGAAACTCAGCGAGTACAAATATTCCTCACAAAAACATTTTTCACATTAAACAATCGACTCTTAAAAATGCTTGTCTAATTATGCTTTATTATCTATTATCCATTTATTACTTGTTAGGACCTTGTGCTCGTACCCATGTGCGCAAGACCAAGGAGAGTGGGGGAGCGACCCAAACCTTTGGTCCAACTACCTAGGGTCAAAATTAAATACTTGTTACCTCACAACCCATGAGCTCGTGGAAATTCTTCGCTACTCATGATCGGAGGGTGGTACAACACTTAACTGTCTTTCCATTACCTTGTCCTTATACTTAAGTGAACATGCAATTGTGATCATGTCACATAGTTATATATCATATAACTTATCTTATGATGCAACAACTGAAGAATATTTAATTCAAAGCACACATAAGATGTTTCTCATCTATCATTATATTCATCATCATTTATGCCACATAAGTATATTATTATAATACTGTAAAGGGCATACATAACATCATGCTTGGAAGTCAAATTACAAAGAATTGATGCATATACAACAAACAACATTTTAAACATTTATTTTGAAATACATTCATGTTGTAGGTGAGGTTTGTATTCATGTTGGTGTTATCGCTTAGCGTATACCCAGAGCACACACCTTCATATGATTGTACGTTCTATATTCATTACTGATAACTGATTGTTAGTTAATTTTCGATCCCTTTAATCCATTATGCTTAGGTCTCAGAACTTAGTCTTTCGAACCTTTGTTTGGATTTATATCTTTAAGCGTATTTCTCTAAACTTCCCTTTTCATTTGAATTAACCGATAAATCATATTTGATTCAATAGTTAATCCTTATTAATATTTCATCATTCAATTTCTACAGACTTATTCGGTTTAAGTCTTAGAGACTTAGTTCTTTTGATATTAACTAGGATTATTTCTTATGAATTATTCTCCTTTAAATTCTTATCAAAGTTTCCCTTTAGTTATCGTCCGTCCTATTGCTCCTGAGTTAATTAATTTACTTACATAATTAATTAACTTTATTAGTTAATTAACTGTCTTAATTTTCTAATTAACCTTTGCAATTAATAAACGATTATTTCGTAATCTATAATTAGCTTCCTTAATTAACTTTGTTAATTAATTAACTCCTGATTACTTAATCTTTAGATTTGATTCATTCGATATTTCATTCTTTCATAAATTAATTAACTTATTAATTAATTTCCTAATTAAACTCTACTAATTAATTTTATAATTAAACTTTATTAATTCCTTTGTATTTCATGTTTTAAATCTTCAAACATCACAAGAATGAATAGATCTCAAACTTTAACTCAGCCAAGTGAAAATCATGACATAAAATCACAAACGAGTGACAAATCTCCAAAAATAACCTCACTTTTCTACACAACAAAGTAACTACTCAAAGTTTAGGTTTCTTTGAAGGTTTTACCTTGGATTTGAGACTTGGCTTGCTTTGGAGACTCTTAGATCTCCTCTTGATGGACACTCTAGGAGGAGAAAAACACAATTTTTTAAAACTTTGAAAGAGGAACTCAAAAGTGAACAAAACCAAGTTTATAGTACAAGTTTTCTTACCCAATCTTCTTCCAAACCCTAGATCTCCAACTAAGAGCCATAAAACAAGATTGAGGAGTTAGATTGAAGAAAAATTTTGAGGGTGAGAGGGAGAGGTTGGTTCGGCCAAGAGGAGGAGAGGGAGAGGGGTTTTGTCTTGAAATTTTGGCTTAGGAGAAGAAGGGAAAGAAAGTGAAATTTGCTCTAACTTTGATCTATTTATAGAGCAATACAAGAGGGGCATTTTTGAAAGAAATATTTTCTAATAAGTCCTCTTGGG